GGATACTTCCTCTTCTAAACAATCCAAAGCAGACTATGCAATGCCAATCCAAACACTTCAAGCCTTCCAAGACCAAGGTTTGACCCATCTACCAAAGAAAACCTGGGCTGAAATAGCTTCAGAAGATGAACAGGAAGAAAGTCTTTCTGTTTTGATTGATAACCTAAAAACCAAGCAGATCTCTAACCGTCCAAACAGGGCCCTAGAAATCCAACCCAAACCTATTTCTACCCAGAAACCAAAACCTCAAACACCATACGTCTCAAAGAACAAGTTTCTAGACGTAATCCAAATGGAACCATCCTACTGGGATAATAAACCAACCAAGGTTCCTGTGAAGATCTTCCCCAAAGACTTCAAAGGACGACAATTTCATTTCAAACCACATTCTCCAACTAAAACCCAAAAATTTTATGAGTTTATTCTACTTGATTCAAACTCTATTTCCATCAAACACTATAAGAGTCCAAAAGACCCTGAGTTTATTACTCATTCAACCATCCAGATCCTCAAGGTAATCACCCCAACAGAATATGGAAATCCAAATAAAATAACCAAATTTTCCCAGCCTTATGATCCAATTGGATATAATTATTGGGACTATGAATTAGCCTGGACCAATGTCTTCTTCATGCAAAATAAAGAAAACAAACATTCATGGTTAATTTACTTTAAGCAAAATATCCAATATAATTTCCCGCAATGGTTTAATAAATGGTGGGATTATTTTGGACCAATCCTTGATATCCTTCCTCCACAAGTCTTTGAAGGAATGACAATCTTTTCCAAAAAATTTGACAATCTAGCAGATCCCTTTCCAATAGATCTGCATTTTTTCTCAAAGTTCTCTCTGGCATGGATATTTTCATGGCAGTACAATTACGGCGAGAAAACAGGCATCAGACTACCATTACTCAGGAGACAAGCTTTTGTTAAATGGTGGATAGAATTTGATGCTTCAAGAGCTTACCTAGAAAATGTCAAGCTCTGGTTTAAAAAACATCCAAAAAACATCAAGCCAGCTGATCCAGAAACCTCTCTTTTCTTGAATCAAAAGGCTCAAATCACAGCAGAATTAGCAGCATCAACCAGCAAAGAAAATTTTGCAAAGAATTTGCAAGGTATTCTTCAATTACTCCAAGAAGAAGCTGAAAGCTCTAAACAGAAGACAGGTTCTTCATCTCCATCTATCTCTTCTTCAGCAGAAGACTTCTACCAAAATGAGGATGATTGTTTTGGAATCAACTTAGCAGAAGACTGTTGAAGAAAACCACTGTAGTGACGCTGATGGCAAAATGACATGAGCATGATGTCAGCAGAAGGTGACGCATACAATGACGTAATCAAAGTGTCGGCAGAAACTGTAGCATCACGAGTCAGTTACTGTTCACTTAACCTACACTGTTCAAACAGTACCGGTCATGTAACTTATACTGTAGCAATAGTGATTTTTCAATCTATTTAAAGGGTTGCTTCAGTATGTTGAAGGCATCCTTTTCATTAGCTGAGTTTAGAGAGATAGTCTAGAGAGAGACTGCGAGGTACTTCTGAGTTTTCTCTTCTTCTCTGTTTTCTCTTTCAATCTGTATCTGTAATTGTTATATTTCCTTATGTTTGAATAAAATATGTTTTTATATCTGCTGATGTAAAATTAATTCTTCTCTTCTCATCCCCTCACGCTAGTGGAATTACCCCAGCGTTCACCTTAAATTTATTTTATGTTTTTAATTTCTGCATTTTAATTTCAGTCATTTATTTCATATAGTAGTCCGTCTACTTTCCTGCTTTCCATTTCTGCTTTAGTTTACTTCATTTCCCTCCTCACACTTCCGGAACCTTTTTTAAGTTGATCACTCATTTTGAAGGGTTTGAACAAAGGTTTTTCCAAGATTTTAGAAGATGTTGAGGATGAAGATTCAGAATTACCAGTTTTGTTAAGTTTTTCACCCAAAACTTGAAGATATTTGTTGGTGTAATTAAATTGTTCAATAAGATTTTTAAAATCCATTGGAGAGATTTGTTCATTTTCATAAAATAACCAAAAAAACTCAACTGTGAACTGAACTGAATTGTATTTAAAAAAAATTGGTTTAAAAAACCAGTTCTTAAACTGGACTGCTTGGTGTGCATGACAAACTTCTCAGAATCAGTTCTTTTTTAATTTCTGTTCCCGGGAACAAAAATGTATAGGAAACTCGTTTGGTAAAATCGGTTTATTATTTTGTTCCTAGAATGAACCGATTTAATTTTTATGCTAAGGAACAGAAAAAAGAATCAATTTTTTTTGCTTTTTTGTTCCCTGGCACAAAATGAGAAACACTTATCTCTCAATTACTCTCCACACTACCATCATCACCACCACCACCATCATCCCGACATGACCACCACTACCATTGTCACCGTTGTCGTCATACCACTAGTGTCGTTATCATCACCACCACCATTGCCATATCACCACCACCACCATCATGCCACCACTACCACCCCACCACTACACCACCGCCGCCACCGCCACTATTGTTACAGCTACTGCCGTCACCACCGCCACCATCGTCGCAGTCACTGTTGTCTCCACCACGACCATGTTATTACCACCACCACCATCGTTGCAACCACTGTCGTCACCATCATTACCACCGCCACCGCCACCAACTACCACCACCATCATCGTAGACACTGCTTTCTCCAGCACCACCATGTCTTTACCACCATCGCCGCAGTCATTGCCGTCACCACTACCACCATGCCACTGCCACCACCACCAACCACCGCCACCATCGTCGCAACCACTGCTGTCACCACCATCATCATCGCCACCATTACAATCGCCACCAACTACAACCATCATCGTCGCAATCACTGCTATCTCCACCACCACCATGTTATTACCACCTATGAAGCACCGACACTTCAAAAACTCTGACGTGTCGTGTCCGACACTTCTCGACACTCTCCGACACTTCGACACTCTCCGACACTCCAACACGCGTTATAGAAATTCAAAAAAAAGGTTCAAAGATTGGGTTGAGTTTTTAGTTCCAACTATTAGATTCGTTGGATTACGATTACCATTTTATTGAGTTTAATATAAATATTTGGGATATTTTATGTTTCTTTGCAAAATTGATGAATATTATAAGTTTAGTTTCATTTTTTTGTTACATTGTTGAATATTAAATATAATATACACTACATAAATTAGAAATATTATTTAATATCAAAATGTGTCCCAACGTGTCGAAATCTAACATTTTTTTTAAAATTAACGTGTCGGAGTGTCGTGTCGTATCGTGTCACGTGTCCCGTGTCAGTATCGGTGCTACATAGATTACCACCACCACTATCGCTGCCATCGCCGCCACAACCACCATCGTTGCAGCCACCACCACCACTACCGCTGCCGCCCCCGCCGCCACCACTACCATCGTCACTATTACCACCACTACGTCGCCACTGCCGCCGCCACCACCATACCATATGAAAAAAAAGTGTAATATGAAAAAAAATTATGCTTAACAGGAATTATATTTGTTATGTTATCAAACGCAATTCTCATTCTCGGAATAAAAATATAACATGTTATCAAACACATTTTTTTTTCTCATAAACTAGTCCAAGGCACAGAAATATAAAAGAATTGTTTCTTTTCAGAAACAGTGCCATGGAACAGAATAGTTGTCATACACACCCTTAAGAAACCATGAACATAATTGATTTTTATTTTCTTTTTCTCTTATTTTTTTATTTATCTTATTTTCTCTAATTTTCTTCTTTATTTATTTTGTTCATTCTTTTATCTTTATTTTTATTACTTTATTTCTTTAGTTTTTTATTTTTATTTTTATTTTTATTTTATGTATCTTTCTCTCTTATTTTTACTTTATTTTATTTATTTTTATTTGTTTATTGCTTTTTTTTCCTTCAATTTTATGTTTTTTTTTCCTCAATATTTTCATACTTTACAAATGTGAATCTCATATGTCTTTGTTTCAAATAAAAATTATGAGAATTATGCAATTCAAACCAGTTCAGAAATGGTTCCAAACCAGTTTGAAAATGGTTCTAGTTTGGAACTTGTTCAAAACTAATTCAGAATTCAGGTCGAACTGGTTCGAACCAAACTGAACCAGTTCAATTAAAAGAAAAAGTTTGGTTCAAAGAACTGAATCGGTTTAAACCAGTTCTATTTGATTCTGAAAAAAGAATCCAGCTCAGTTCAACCCATGCCCACCCCTACATATATCAACCAACTTTTTGGGAGAATAAATCTTCTTATGTCTTACTTTAACATGACTATGTGATTGAAAATTTTCGATTTCAATCACAAAACCCCTTACAATTTCACTTTATCTTATACACACACATAAAAGTATATGAAGTCTATATAAGATCATGTGAAAAGAAGATAGAGATAAAGAAAATAAGGACTCTACACTTTTATATGTGTGTAAAAGATAATTTTATCTCCTATAATATGAAAGACATTAAACCCCTTACAATTTTATTGAAGAAATTCTAAAATGAAAAGGAGAAAATAATCATTTTAATTGTTGACAGTTGATTCTAAATGAAGGGTATGATCGTGTTAAGGAATGAAAGGATTCATTCCCACCAAGAAACTAATTCTGCAAACAACCATCTGAACGGCAGAAATCATGTCATATTTTACATTGGCAGAACAGAGATTAATCAACAAACCAAACAACAAAATGTATGATATTGGCCAAGAGTCACCAGATCAAAAGTGTATAAGGCATACAACTACAAAAATCCACCTTCAAAATGTTTTCACAGTGGTATACATATCTTCAAAGAGATAAGATCCGTTTACAAAATTTTTTTGCAAATTACACTAAGTATGACCGGTTCTACTCTCATGATTAAAGTATGACCAGTCATACTTAGTGTAGTTTGTAAGAGTTTGTAAACAAAAAATTTGTAAATATAACATTCTCCATCTTTAGAAAAGAATATTGTTTCAATTGTTAAATATGGGAAAAAATAAGCATATATTTAGATAAGGTTTAGTCCCGAACCTTACCAACAGAAAAAAATAATGGGAAAACTAAAAGTCCATATATTACATCTGTTCAACATCAACAACCAAAAAAACATCACTAAGAATTGCTCCTAAGTACAGTGTAAAAGCTATTACTCTATATTCTATAAAAGCCAATTGATAGTAATGTTGCCAAGCCATGTGAACAATGGGAACTGAACCAAAGCAATGAAGAGTAACAGATAGTGGTGTTTGCTCGAGTCATAACTCCTGACCTCTGCAAAAAGGACTCTCTTCATTGTTTTCACCAAGAATATTCCCATGCATAAACAGGTCCATGGCATCAAAAAGTAGTAGGAGTAGCCTGAAATTATTCTTCCAAGAACAGCCAAACATATGCCAGTGAAAGTATACCCAGCATATGCTATAATGTCCAGCAGGGGTGCTTCTCCACTGCCCAATGAAAGCAATGTCACCTTAAGCAGTGCGGTTTGCATAAACCAACCAAGCAATCCCTTGATGAATAACAAGTTCAAAGCTTCTGGACTAAACCTGGACATAAATACAGCATCATTAAGAAACCATGACAAACTATAGGAAAAAATGGAGATAGAACAAATGAGCTATATGAACTAAACAAAATTCTGAGTGTAACTTGCCAAAACCCAACTTTGAAAATTTGAAAATGGTAATCATGATGAAAATACAATTAGCAATGTCTATAACATCTAAAAGTTCAACACTTATCTGGCTTCCGAAAAAGTTCTTACAGATAGGTGGAAACAACATAGAATAGAAATAATTTTGGACTTGAAAAATAACAACCAAAACAACTTGTGCACTCAAGACAACAAAAGGAGGTGAGGTGACTACAGAAAATCATACTCTGACAATGCATAAATTCCTTGCAACAAACAAAGTTGCCAATGTTGAACACTGCGGATAGAGTACCATGTGTCTTATTGCACCAGGTAGGTGGCGATTTGTATTCTCCTCCCCGCCACACCCATATCACACAAAGCCTTTTCACATAATGATTTACCAACACTTCATCACAGAGCAATTGAAATTCACAGCACAGAATTGGGATATTAGGAGTAAAACAGATTTATCAATTACTTAAAGATCATCCTAATCAAGGACAACAGCATATAGTTAACAATGTGGTACCTGTCATCCATAACAATTCAATAGTCCCTAATTACTACTACAAGTAGCATTTCATAAGTCTTAAAAGTCAGTTTCGAAAAGGCTAATGTCAACAACAGGTGTTTTAGCATGAGCAGGAAAATTTATTCTGCTAAAATTTACGCTGAGTTCTAACCCTGCGGACAAAGAGTGGAACTCTAGGCTGCAAACAATGTAAGTTAAAAATAGAAGGTAAGCTGCTTGATTTTGGGGGGGAAAAGAGGAATCCCTATTATGCAGCGCAGTGACAATAAAACTTGCACTATAAAAAAGGCAAGAAATTTTACAAAACACATAAATGATATACAGATACACAAGGCACAAGTACAAACAGGGTATAGTGAGGGGTAATACTGCTAACTACAAATTTGAGAAAAATAAATCGAACATGTCAGTATTATACTATGGGACAGAGGTACAGGAAGAAGAGTACTTACTTTCCTTGAAGACCCAATGAGAGGCCAGCTAGAACGAGGTAGGTACCAAATGCCATTAATGGAATATATAGGTCTGGTGCGTTTATGTCATAAATTGGTGGTTTATAGGAGAGCCTACCCCCTACTGGTTCAGTAATTCTAGTCCAATGACCCTGAACCAGAAAAGAAAAAAGATAAGGGCAGCATGAAGATAAAATAAGATAATCAAATGAAAATTCAAGGAGAGGAATGAAGAAAAGTGTGACATTACTGCTTACCCTGTGCAGGAATGGAAACAAAACCACCTTCAATTTGTTCTTAACATAATGGTCATTCACTTGAAAGTAGTATTGGGGATCAGAGAAATATCTACTTATCTGTTATTCAATAGAGAAGATTAATTTTAAAAAAAAAAACCTTCAATTCAAACATTGAGAGAATATATATAACTGGTAATCAAAGATAGCAAATTAAGGTCCATTAAGCTTTTCAATGTCATTTTTCAGCTACATTGGTTTATCCCACCAAAAGCAGTCAAGCCTAATTTATTGATATGTAATCATTATTGAAGGGAGCATAATGCCATATAAGAATTATATTTTAAAAGTAAATCTTGGAACATTTCAATTTTTCTTCAAAATATTAAATGTTAAGTCCATATACTAAAGTGCCAAGTTGTGCACAATAGTTTCTGAAAATCAATAGATACGTATTGCTGAGATGATATACCAACTACTTAGAAACAGGGGTTGAATTTGAAGAGGTTATGCCAGTTTTCCCCGAATGATCAGTTGTAGTAGACACAATTTAAGCATAAGGAAGACAGGGAAACAGAAAACAATTCGAGCTTTGAAGTTCATATAAGAAATAACAATGACTAAATACTCAAATTGGCCTTCTAAATATACACGGTACATCAAGTTGGTCTTCCAAAGACTTAGGACATCAATTTAGACCTTCTTATTTAAAATGAACATCAATTTAGTCACTCAATTGATCTTTGAAGTCAATTTGGTCCCTAAATTAATGCTTACTTTACACTATGAAGGATGAATTTGATATCCAAAATCTTTGGAGGACCAACTCGATGTCCCAACTCCCACATATCTTTGAAGGACCAATTTGAGTATTTACTTGAATAACAACTATAAAGAAACATTAAAAGACATAATTTTACAAACCAGGTGGCAATATATATATATATATATATATATATATATATGGTAAAATCATTTCTGCAGTCGCTTTATGTACAGCACCGACAGGTGTATGGTTATGATTCCTCACATTTAATGCTTTCATCCTTTGTATGGTTATGATTCCCTACTTTTAATGCTTTCAAATATATATGACAAGTATTTGATTGCTGCACATACAGCAGCTGTAGAAATATAAATCCCTATATATATATATATATATATATATATATATATGGGATACGATCATTTGACACCAGTATCAAATTTAAAGTTTGACACCTTATCTGAGAGTCATTAGATAAAAAAAAAAAATCAATGGTGACACATGCTTACAAATCAAAGTCGTTGATCTTTTTTGATCTAACGACTTTCAGATGAGATGTCAAACTCTGAATTTGACACTGGTGTCAAAGGATCCTACCTTATATATATATATAGGGTTTGGCGTTTATCATTTTAAATGACATAAGATGTCATTTTAAGAGAGAGATAGACACAAGGAATGGAAATCATAGGAAAGAAAGTGAGTGATTTTTTTTTTAATTTAAATTTTAAATAAAAAATATTTTCTTGTGTCTGTCTCTCTCTTAAAATGACATAACTTTATGTCATTTAAAATGACAAACACTTTTTCCATATATATATATATATATATATATATATAGGATACCATTGATCCTATTTATATCCAACGGCTTTGATTTATTAAATATGTGAGTCATTAGATGCAAGCAAATCCTGGAAAGCACCATATATATATATATAGGATACCGTTGATCCTATTTATAACCAACGGCTTTGATTTATTAAATATGTGAGTCATTAGATGCAAGCAAATCCTGGAAAGCACCAGCACCAACACGGACTTTTAAAAAAAAATTGCGTGTCGGACACCGACACGCGGTCAACATTTTGAGACACGCGGTCAACGCTACGACACATTCTGATACGCGTTTTCGACACGCGGTGAACGCTCCTACATGCATCCGACACTTTTATTTTTTTATTTTATTAATTAAACATGAAAAAATAATTTGTAAATCAATTTTTTTCTAATATGGGAATTTGATATGAAATATTATTTTTTCTTTATATTTATGTTTTGAATATTTGAATATTTGATTGGTTATATGACTTATTATGGGATGCTATATGTATTAAATATAAATTATATTATATATATTAAAAATATTATTTAATATCAAAACGTGTCCTAACGTGTCGAAATATGGCATTTTTTAGTATTAACGTGCCGGTAGGGGTGTTAACGAGTCTAGCCGAGCCAGGCTTTGGTCTTAAAAGGCTAAGTCTGTGTTTAAATGTGTCAGTTTCGCCTAGCCTATTACCTATTATGAATATAATTATCGGTCTGTGGCTTAACTTATTTACAAAAAAATAAAAGTCTGGTTTAGTCTGTTAGACTGTTAAAAAAAAAAGACAATAAAATTTTATCCAAACAGAATATACAATCAACAACACTGATAATTCCACAAAGATTTATAGATTCAATGTGTATCCAAATAACATAATATAGAACAAAATCATTCAAAAAGTCTGTTTAACCAATAAAATGGGGTGAAATGGTTGAGGAGAGAGAGAGAGCTATTATGAGTAATATAAAAATATAAAATAAAAATAAAAGTTAGTATACTGGGCCAGCCTGAGAGGCTCGAAGACCGGCCTTTAGAATTGGAGCTTGAGGCCTCTTTATTAAACGAGCTTTTATACAAGTCTGAGCCTGATCCAACAATCAATTTTGACATGTAAGCTCAGGCCTTCACGAGCCGGGCCAAGGCCCCTGGTTCGTTTAGCACCCTTACGTGTCGGCGTGTCATGTTGTGTCCCGTGTCGGTGTCGGTGCAACAAAGTTCAAATCAATGACTAAAATTTGGTATAAGAATAACATGCCCCTATATATATATATATATATATATATATATATATATATATATATATATATTTGCTACTTAGTACTTACATTGCTTTGGACATACTCAGAGCTGGATCCTAATATTTTTCCTCCATATGCACCCAATCCACCTCGAATGAGTCCTGAACCCGCAACATTAAATGCACTCTCAAAAGGATTAGGTTGCGAGCTTGTCGGGGGCTGCGGTGCCCCAGGTTGGGATCCAACGTTATTATACATTCTTACTGCCCTGATTAAAAAAAAGAAGCAATCTGAAACAACTTCAATGTGCAGAAAAATCAACATCATAATAAATGATACACGAGATCTATTTCTAAGACAGATTGGCATTCCATAAGGTATAGAAACCAACACTTCAACAAATTATTAACAAAAACAAAATGCTTCGTCACATTGTAGGCAACTAATGAATTCAGTGAGAGAGAATAATAAGCATGAATGACAGAGAAGACACCATTTTATCAATTTTCATATATCAATGAATTGAACAGGTGCGACGCTATCAGCAACACAAATAAACACCAAAATAATCGTAGATTCAAGATCCATAAAAAAAAAAGGAAAACAAAAATGAAAATTCGAAGTTGCAAGCAAATCTGAAAACAACCCAATAAGGAACAGAGAGAAAAGTTGCAAGCTTTAAACCAAGAGAGAGAGAGAGCAAAATCGTTTACGGTGTAGAGAGAGAAAGGAACAGAATTTGAATAGATATTAATAGGAAAAAGTGGAATTCAAATCTGCGGAGAGATCTGAAGAGGAAGAACGAACCTCAAGGAGAAGAATCACGGTGGTTTAAACAACAAGAAGAAGAAGAAAAAGATGAAGAACTGCGTCTCGGAGAAGGAACTGAGAACTGAGAAGGAGCCTCCTGCACAAGCAAAACCGGTATTTGGTAAACTCTTCCCTTTTTCTTTTTTTCTTTTTTTTTATATTATCATTTTGTGTCATTTTAGTGGAAATATTAGTTTCAATAATTTTTTTTTTACAAAAAGTAATTATTTATAATTAAAAAATAATAATATTTTTATAAGTAAAAATTATAAACAAAAATTAAAGTAAGTAAAAAAAATTATAAGAATTTAAATGATAAAATATCGTGACTGATATTTAAAAAATGAGATAGGATAAGCCTATTTCTGTTCGTGTCTATTTTTTCTATTCATTTTCAAAAGTGTTAGATCAAATCTCAATAAATATTTATCTTTTCTCTCTCCTCATAAGATCCTAATCTAATGATGTTAAAAATTAGTAAGATATATATATATATATATATATATATATATATATACACGCGAAAGAAGGTAGGCATAATACAATATCTCAAAAAAAAAACATAAATAGAAACCAAAATCTACATAGGTAGAAATTATCAAAAAGAAATTTTATTGTAACGAGGGATTTGAGTAAGTTGTATTAGATTACATGTTCAATTTCCATTTGTTTTAAAAAGAAGTTATTGAAGCCTTAAAAAAATTAATTTAGTTATTTTGGTTATTAAATACATCTTTTATTTTATCTTTGACCAAAGTATGTCTACGCGTTTTGTTGTGAAAATAACCTTAAACTATTGCAATTAGGAAATCTTATAAAAAATGTACTCTTTAAAATTCAAACTTTTTTTCTTTCTTTTTTGAGATTATCTTTGATAATCTCATAGTTTTTCTATGGACTAATTCGAAGTTCGGGACGAATCCATGATTAAGACTTTAAACTCCTCTCGAATATAATATTAGAGAGAATCGAATACATACTTACTCTCATTTGCTCAACTCTCTCATGCATCAATTGAATTACCATCATTTAACAATAAAATTTAAAATTCAATCTTTTCTTTAAGTACCTAACTTGTTTATTACCGCATTTAACCCTTACTAGTGAATTACACCTAATGTTAATTATGATAAATCTTAATCTAAATTGTTTTGTTAAACTATGGGGTGTCACATTAGAATGACCCTTCTATTTCTTTTTTACAATCACATCGTTACATCAACAACTGTACCGTTGGGATCTATAAGCCCACTATGTTCCCTTTGGGGATGGAGTCACTATATGGATTATATCCTTAGCTCAGGTAGAGACCAAGCTAAGAGGCACTGTTCCAAATATGAAGCAAGCAATCAATAATGGGATTAGGTGTGTGTATGTTTGACTCAATGTAAATGGGCAGAATAACGATACATAAGATACCTTCTTGGTGTTCCCAGGGGGCTTATTTATAGGGGAAGGTGATGTGAACCTGGTGTGGGCAGACACTGTTGGGCGTGGCAAGCGCTGCTATGATAGCAGCGATGCGCCCCTATGCTTGGCGATGTCAGCGTGTGACAAAGGGAAGTTTCCTCTTATGGTATCTGGGGTGGTCACCTTTGGCGGTTAGGGTCCCAAGACGGGACATTTTGGTGTTTCCCCTAGGGAGTGTCGTCGCGTTGGGGGTTGGGGTGCTGACAGCTGATAGGGCTGACGTGGATAGGGGGATGAGATTGGGCTTGGACCTTTGGGTCGCTGTGTTGTTGGGCTATCCGGAACAACAACTGTATTGTACGTCACTAGTTAACAGAATAACTTGAATAGATAATTGAATTAAGAATAATATTATATGTAATTAATAAGTTGATGAATTAGTTAAAAAAACAAGATCTTGAATTGATTCAAAATGAAATTGTAAGAACTACAAACTTAATTAAACATTCAAAGATATGGCTAGTTTAAGATTTGGAAATCACCATAGGCATATTTTGCGTTGTCCTTGACGGAATGAAGCTACCATAATATCATCTTTCCCTCGATGTGATGTGGAAGTCAGGTGAAGATGCCTATAGGTTTCCAAAAGTATTATAGGGAAATATTTGGTGAACATACTTTAAGAGCACATATCTCAGATGTGGAAATTATCATCATTGATATTGATTAATATACCTGATTAATGAAAGGGATATAAGAAGGATGGAGAAATCAACAGTGATGATTGATTTTTGTGATGTATATGAGAAAAAAATAGTCTTGTTTAAGTGTGTTCCGGATGGCCCAACAGCAGTGGCCCAAAGGCCAGAGCCCCATCATAACTCCTTATCCACATCAGCCCTACCAACTGGCAACCCTCCCCAACTCCCAATGAAACGACACTCCCTATGGGAGACACCAAAATGTCCCATCTCGGGACCCCAACCCCCAAAGGCAGTCGCCCCAGATGCCATAAAAGGTAACTGCCCCTTTGACATACGCTGGCATCGCTAGGCGCATCGCTGCTATCATAGCAGCGCCTGTCACGCCCAACAGCATCTGCTATTATGAGCAGATCCCAAGAAGGGTTGACCCCTTCCTCACCAACCCAAAGAAGGCTCATACGACCTCCTTATAAATAGCCATCTTTGGCACACCAAAGAAGCATCTTATGTATCGTTATTATGCCCATTATATTGAATCACATTACACACACCTAACCCCATTGTTAATTGCTTGCTACATACTTGGAACAGTACCTCTTAGCTTGGTCTCTACATGTGCTAAGGGTATCATCCATACAGTGATTCTCTCCCCAAAGGAAACATAGTCGGCTTATAGATCCCTATGGGTACATTGGCGCCGTCTATGGGAACTATAAACTTCTATTCCCATTCTCCAACCAAAGACGTAAAGGAGGCATCCCACTTTCTGACAGCTAAACATGGTTGTCACGACGAGAAGAGCAGAACAAACTAGAGTCGTTACCCCTTAAGGTCATGTGCAAACAGTTCATCCCAACTCACTGCCATCCATGCATTCAGCCCCAACTGAACAACCAGCCGGTGAAGCCCTTTTCCTGGTACTGCAATCTATTGACCCACCATTACCTGCAGCAGACGCTAGGGCTGTACAGTTGAATCGCCGCGTGGCTATACGCGAAATGCAAGGAGAAAACTTGATCCCAAATCAGCCTCCATCACCAGGAGTTCGTTTTGGGATGCCACTCCCCATCCCTGGCCCACAAATCATTCCCCCAACTCACCACCAACGACCGGCCAGAAGTCAGCCTGTCGCTATGTACAACGACCATCGAGTTCATGTGGCCGCCCCATATCCCCCAGTACCTTACACCCACAATGTTGCTTCCCCTTAACCCCCACCTTTCCCTACTGGCTTTCCATTCCACGGTTACGCAATACCGCCCCATAATGCTATCATCCCGCAACCCCAAGGATCAGGCATAAACCCGGGCCCGCCACAGTATGGCGCTCATCAAGCCATATCCCTCTCTTACTCTGTTGAGGCCCCCCAAGCACCACATCCACCACCAGACCTACATGCTCGTAACTCGAACTTAAAGTAACACCTGCCAATACCTCAGGACGCAACAAACCCCTGACTGATAGTCTACGCCTAACGCCCATACCCCTCGGATTCAAAGGACCGTCAAATATCACAACATATGTAGGCAACACTGATCCTTTCGAATGGATCCAGAAATTTGAGGCAGCAATGACACTGCATGGCGAGACAGACCTCCTTATGTGCAGGACTTTCCCTACACTCCTGGGGGGTAGAGCTTCGACATGGTACACCACTTTGTCAACAGGGAGTATAGCATCCTAGGATGATCTGGCCAGCAAATTCCAGACCCATTTCGCAACAAGCCGCCCAGTGCCCAAGTTTGTACACGCCCTCAAAAAAATTCGACAAAAATCAAGGGAACCCCTCAGATCTTTCATGGCCCGCTTCGACAAAAGGCTCTTCAGGTGCAAGGCTTAGACCCTACAGTACAGGTGAACATACTCTTGTCAGGCCTGCGCCAAGGGACGTTCGCATATGAGCTCGCCAGCCACAAAATTACTGACCTTGAAGAGGTCAAGAAAAAGGCTCAGGAGTTCATGAGGATTGAAGAGTACAAGGGGAGTAGAGCTGACGACTCTCATAACCGAGAGAAGAAAGCCAACAAAAAAGACCATCGGATGATGAGAAAAGAAGTCACAAATCCTCCAAGTATTCCAGCCGCCCAGTTGGGCGTGGTACCCAAAGACGCCAATCACACAGCCTCTTACAAACTGAATACAAAGAACGCAAGAGTAACCCACAGCCCCAACAGCCAGACAGAGAGACCACTGTTTATTGCAAATTCCACCGTATCAACGGTCATAGCACTGAAGAGTGCAGATCTCTCAAGGATGAGATTGACGAGCTAATCAAGGGTGGAGCCCAAAGGCAGACGAGTAATTCTGGGCGTGATGTCGGTGCCGTCAGGCGTCACCGTCAACGTAGCAGGTCACCAGAAAGGCGGAGAGCTGGCCAATATGACTACAGACCTCGCCGTGAACAGAACCACATAGAAAACTCCCCAAGAAACTGTAGGGTCCAAACCAGCCCAAACAATAGTGAAGGGCGTGCAGAGCGTGACGAGGATCTGGCTGTCATCAAGCACGTCATTATAAACATGATTGCAGGGGGACTAAGTGGCGGCGAAGAAACGGCGAACGCCCGGAAGAAGCATTTGAAACAATGTTTGGCGGTGTCTGGTAAAATCATCAACAAAGCAAAAGCGAATACTGACCACACCAGGCCTAAAATCGTCTGGGACAACAGCAATTTGGGCGACGTCCTACCGGTCATGATGACCCCTTGGTCATCCAAGCAATAATAGCTAATTTTGGCGTTAACCGCGTGTTTGTTGATCATGGAAGCTCTGCCGACATTTTATTTTTACCTTGTTTCAAGGCATTAGGGTTTACGGTGAATGATTTAACCCCTGTTGTTTGTGAACTGTCAGGTTTCAATGCAACAGTAACCAAGCCCCTTGGCATGATTAATCTACGCTTGTCAATGGGAACGCCGCCCACTTCCAGTTCTGCGAACATCCAGTTCCTAGTTCTCGACACCCCGTCAGCATACAACGCCATCA